CGATGTGGCCACACCCTTCGAACAAAATAAAAATAAACTTTATTTATTCATATTTTAATCCTCTTTTCAATGGTATAATTTTTTTTTTCGAAGGGTGTGGCCACAGCAAAAATTTGTACCAAAGACGAAAAAAATGCTTTATTTTGATAAAAACTAGGAAATTGCACGTGTTTAGACGTTTTCTGTACAAATATGACGTCATCAAATAAAAAAATTGACATAAACTATTTAAGTTTGATACCCAAGGATAATATTTCTATTGTTAATTTTCTTCTTCCCCTCAGTTTAATTTTCCTGAAAAAAATAGGCCGATTTAGCCCCTTCGTGGATTTAGCTCTTTTATAGTTATTCTTTGAATATGTACAATGAATGTCAATTCGTTACTGTAGATTTATTTTTCGCGAGTAATTATCGCAAACATGGCTCTTTAACGTCAAATGGCGAGAACAATAATACGCGAGTGGACGGTTGATTCAGAGACATTACTTACATTGATTTCAGCACCATAAAAAATCTAAGGAAAAGGCCTAAAATATAGGTGAAAAAAAGAGATCATTTACAGACACACCTACATATAAATAAGTACAAGTAGACATATGACACTTATATATATATATATTGTAACATTATAATGACAATATATGCATCTTTAAAGCTTAATACTTAAGACGAGTATAAAAACTGGCTAGTTTTAACTTTTACATCTGCTATTTAAAGAATATAATTATTCATTAATTTTGCTAAAACTTATTTTAGAATAGATCCAAATCCATAGGACTTAAAGTTAAATTGTATGGAAATGAATGAAAAGCAAAAAAGAAATTTAATGTTCGATCAGACCTGAGTTTGTCATAATGCCCAGCGATCTTCCATAATCTGTAATATCACTTTATTTTGGGATTTACATATCTCTCTAAAACATCTTCCTTTATCTGAAATTGATATAATAAAAAGTACTAATTATTATTTATTAAAATTTTCATAAAATTCCAATATTCTTAAAGAATTATGTAGCACACAAGCATCCATAACCAACAACAAAAACCAATGAACAGGAGTCTTGATTACGTTGCTGTCTTAAAAGAAATATGAGCAGCGTTTGATCATGTCTTTTTTCCACATTGTGCCATTTCTTATGCTAATTACATAACCCATCATTTTTTAATAAGTCATATCTTGCATTACATAGACACACATCTTACTTATTGTTTATCATGAAGTTTGCCACTTGGCTAGTGAAGTGTAATTTGATAGTTTGACACTACTTATAAAAATTACAATGTTTGTCTTAGAAATGTCGCTTCAGACTATATTATAATTCCATATTTATGATTGAATGAAAATTTTGAAACCACAGAGAAAACAGAGCAGCTGTATATTTACAAGTCTGAAAAACACAAGTTCATATTTATAGCTCATTGATGTCATGCTAGATGTTAATTTTTCCCATCTGTTTGAATTTATGAGCGAGATATCTATATGTAACTATATAGAAAAATTGGGGATATTTTCTGCAATTTTCAAGATTAAATCTAAAAAGTTTAAACTGATGTGAATAATGTTAATTCCGCTAAGTATCAGAATGAATGTCGATGATGCCATAATGATATTAATTACAACCAAAGAATGATACATAAGGTGTCAAGTAATTATCTATACTGTTGGTGCATGTTTATTCTTTTACACTGTAGTTTATTTTTACTTACGTGAAAACTATGTAGTTCATCTTAGTATTGTATTCAGGGGTGATATCGCTTGGGAAGTTGTTGCATGAAACCTAACAGCATCAGCCTCTATATTTCTTGCCATAATATAACCGTTTACTGGTATATATACTGTTGTATCAAACCGTCACGGTAGCTCTGTCGGTAAAGCTCTAGCTCCGTAATCGGAAGGTCGTGTGTTTGCATCACGGCCGCGACTGACCTAAGAAATAGGTAGCAGCTTTGCAAGCGCTCGGCACTTTAAAGTGAAAGTTGTGGGTCCTTTGGGTGAGACTTTAAAAAACTGCAAGGCCCCGTTTCACGGTAGGCGTTAGCTTGATAAAGAATCCCCACTGCTCAATGGCCCTGAGTGCGAGTAAAGGTCTAAATTTGAAGCCCTTCACCGGAATTTGGTGAGGTCTCTATATGAGTGAAATATTCTTAAACGGGACGTAAAACAACATACAATTAATCAATCAACTGTTGTATCCTTGAGTCCCTCTCTAACAACGTGGTGTCGCAAAACGGCGAGGGTATGCCATAAATTCTCGGAGGTCGGAAGAACAAGCAAAAAGGCAAACTTTATTAAATGTATGCAATATTTATTTAATTTGTATTTATTATACAGGGAATTCGGTGTTTACCATCCTTTAAATTAGTTTTATAGCAAAACCAAACGCTCTAAGCATGATCACGACATTGTCCCAATCTTGAACAGTGCGAGTTGTTTGGTATGTTTAAAATCGTCAGGTTCACATATCCTAAACCAAGATTTGAAGCATTGACATCTGCTGTAAATGATATCCATATACACTGTATGTGAAATATATCCATGATTTTATGTAGATTCTAAAGCTTAGATTGTAATGAAACTTAATACTACAATATACGTTATTAAGGTTGATTGATTGCATGTTGTTTTACGTCCCATTCGAGAATTTTTTGCTTATATACATACTTCAATATATACTGGTGAATGACTTCAAATTTAGACCTATATTCGGCCCAATTGGGGAGCACCGTTATCGTGCCAATGCCTACCGTCGCACTGGACCTCGGCTTTTAAGGTCTAAACCGAAAGACCCGTGACTTTCACTTCTAGTGCCGCCTTTGGCTAAGGAACAGTAACTATGTTATTTAGGTCTGAAGTTTGACACAGAGCGGCGCACGAGAATGAATCCCGGGTCTCCTAATCACAAGCTAAGTTAGAGAGAAATTCGCAGATTTAAAGGGAATTTTGAAAAAAAAATGCTCATTTAGCCTAATTAATATTATTATGGATAAGTCAGAAATATCCATGAAACCATAAAATTATCATTTAGGATTTTGCACAAAAAACCTTCAGTCATCTGATAACGAGATGTCATATATCACCTATGACATGTTCACGAGGACACATACTGATCTATATAATATATCATGCAGCTATCGTTTTCACATGCATAATCAAAAGAAAGCATAGATTTTCATCGAGCTCTCAATTAGTCAAGCAAGAAGCAGGGGATGTTCACTCTTCCATGGCACCTGATCCCACCTCTGACGTTTTATGAGGTCCATGTTTCCATGTTTATTCTGCTCCTGATTTATGCTGTTTGAATATACTTTTGACTCTGAATACTGTTCGTTATCTACATATCTCATGCATAAAAATTTAAGAATTAATGCAATTAAAAATATTGTAGCTAACTATTATGTACCTTCACTGCAATTTAAGCCCCTCCAACCAGGGACACAGTCACAATATCCATCTGTGAGTTTACATGTACTAATACATTTCTCAGAGCAAATACCAGAGCAGTTTTGTCCGAAATATCCCTCCTGACAAGCTGAAATAGAACAAAACCTTGATATTTATTCCTGAGAAGAAAAGAAACCCTTCATGACTAGTTTGTCTCCTTCAATTTCATATTAATTAAAAATACAAGTAGTTATTTATATTTTACGAAAGTCTTTCCCGGCTAAGATTGTCTAATTCTATGGCAGTGGATTCAAACATGACTTTGTTATGTTCTTTGACTTCATTTTGTTTCTTGAATGTGACGCAATGTAATCTCAAAGGCAATTTTTAACATCATTGAATAAATGAAGATGGCATTTGATATGATCCGATACTTGCAAGATAATATTCAATCTATGTCAAGTCTCAAAAATCTAGGTCAATATATACATATACATGTCTATACACAACGGTAATGTGACCTCACCTTTTCTTAAGAAATTCGTTCTGTGGCAACAGTGACAAACTATATCATTTTTTAGAAAGAACCACTTTGGCATAATCCAAAAAAGACTTTTTTCGGGACAATATAGTAGATATTTTTTTTTATTTAAAGTGGAGTGTTGGCTTTTATCATCATTGTTCTCTCAGTTTATATGTAAATATTTAATTAAAATCGCTAAATAAGTCAAACTCTTTAAGATTTTGTTTACGAAGAAAATATCTGTTGCAATTTAAAACCAATCTAGATAAATACAAGTAGAGCATACTGTGCTGGATTTTTACTTTATACATGTAGGTGTATAGTTTAAAATTAATGATATCTACTATATTGGTATTCTCATACCTGAGTTAATGTTGTCCTTAATCTTATGTTATAAATTTACAAGTTAAATGCATACCACTGTTTATGGTAAAAAAGTATTCATAATAAAAATCCACATGAATTATTTAGTATAGCAAAGTACTATCAATGGCAATGCCATACTAAGAAAAAATAATTTTTATTGAAAGTCGGGTAAATCGACAAGAAACATTAGCTCTGAAGAGCTTTTTACCGGTTATATTTATGCTGAAATCATATGCATAAACAAATATTGTTGTGTCAAACTCCTTACAACTTTTAATTTTATATTATTTTGATTTCTTGTACATGTATAATTTCCTTATATTTTGTTTATTTCTACATTGATTTAAAGCCACATCATAAATCTTGAATATAAATATCAACTGCTAGGTGTCTTAATGGCAAATTGAGGTGCATTGAATCGTCAAAAATATATTTTTAATCTTATCCAAGGATAACGTAGATTATAACAAATGCAGTTTGGCTCACATTTCTTGTATCTCTCTCCAATATTATAGATCTGTCCTTACAGCCATTTTTACATAAATGAAAATAGTCATTATCAACTTCTAAAGCAGTGTCAAAATAAATATTATATGTACTACAAATTTTTCCTTACATTTGTTACATATTTCTCCAATATATCCATCCTTGCAGCCATTTGTACAAACTCCGTCTATGTGATTACAGATATTATTCCAACAATTCTGACTGCAAATTCCCTTGCATTGGTTTCCGAAGTATCCAAATCTGCATGCTTTTGAATTATGAGGAGAATATTTTTTTTTAAGATACTTGCAGTATGAAAAAAATCGTAAAGTCAGCTTGACCTTTTAGATTGTTTTATCCTATCATTTACCTGCGTAACACAAATTCCCTATATATCCCGGTTTGCACCCTGTGTCGCAGTGTCCAGTTTGTTTGTTACAGAAGACATTATTGAGACAGTGACCACTGCAGTTATATATACAAGAGGGGCCGTAGTTTCCACCTTTACATGCTGTAAACAATTTCCATGCACAACAAGTGTCAAACCATAAATTGAATAAATAAGTTTCATTCATAATCATTTTTAAAATATTTTCATATTCGAAAGATTATCAACAGTAATCATTAATCATATATCTTTTAACATTTTCTTTAAAATTTTAAGTAAAAGAGTAAAAGCTAATCGTGCTTAGGAAATAAAAAAAAAGAATACTTACAGTAATATAAACCAGATGTCTCTGATGAAACTGTAGCTCTACTGGTTTGTATTTATAACAAAGGAAATGAAAAGTAGCACTTCCACTTGAAACTATGCAACAGCAATAGATAGAATTATGGTCCTTGATTTAGTCTCTTTGTGGAAAGATTTATTGCAATCAGATGAAAACTGTTCGAAGAGTAGCCTTCTGGACGTATTTGGATGTATTTCACCGAAGTTGCTATTTTTAGTAAACATGGCATAAAATAAAATTATGTATCTCAGTATAGTCTACTTGCTGCAATATTACATTGAAATCAAATCAAAACTGTAGGAGAAGTAGGATTTTTAAAGTATTTCACAGAAATTCCAATGTTAAATAACCATAACAACAACGCTAAAAATAAATAAATAAATAAATAAATAAATAAGTAAATAAATCGATAAAAAGAATAATGTATCTTAGTGTAGTCTACTTGTGTGCCAAGTTATACTGAAATCAGACCAAAACTGTAGGAGGAGTAGCATTTTGAAAGTATTTTAAAGGAATTTCACAGAATTTTTTTTATTTTTAGTAACCACGACACCATCGTTCATCAAAATCAAAAACAGATGCACTAAATTATGTATCTTAGTGTGTAGTCTACTTGTGTTCCAAGTTATATTGAAATCAGACCAAAACCGTAGGAGTAGCGTTTTAAAGGAATTTCACAAATTTCTTTTTTTAAGTAACCACGGCAACATTGTTCATCAAAATCAAAAACAGATGAATTAAATTTTGTATCTTAGTGTAGTATATTTGTGTTAAAAGTTATGTTGAAATTAGACGAAAACTGTAGGATGAGTAGCGTTGTTTTGAAAGAAAATACAGATGGACGGACAGACAGACAGGCGGACGGACGGACGACGGACACCTATATATTACATAAGCTCTTCTGGTCTCTGAACAGTAGAGCTAAAATGAATTACCATTCATTTCTACATGTATGAGTGAGTTGTAATTTGTCTTCAGTATATAATTTAAGGATAAAAATAGAAGCATGTCATATTTACGTTCTTGGCAATTTATTCCTTTCCATCCGTCAGCACATCCATTTTCACAACGACCGGTCACGTGGTTGCAGACCTCATTTTTTATACAATGGCCAGAACATTTTTGTTTACAATCAAGACCATACCATCCTCTGACACACTCTAGTTTAAGAAATGCTGCTATGTATTTGTCGTTAATATACAGCAACTTTATAATGTAGGATGGTTTTGCATGAAATATGGAGAAAACGAACAGTAATCAAGCTCAAAAGTCTATTGAAACAATACAAATCGGGAGCAGAGCAAACACGGACCTCCAAAAACATCAGAGGTGGGGTCAGGTGCCATGGAGGAGTGAGCATCCCCGTTGACCGGTCACACCCGCCGTGTGCTTACTGTCATGATATTACAAACGAAAAAAAATTCCATAGACAATTCAGTGTGTAAAATATGGCCGGACAATTTGTATGAAAAACTTTAAACCGCATTCGACTTAGTGATGGATTGTGGTTGCTTACAGGTAATTGTATCGACAATAGAACTTCCGAAATTTTGACTTTAAACGAGACTGTTGATATCCTTGTTTGTCAATAGCTTGCCTCGTTTTAGAAATTGTTCGTACCTAGAGCATGCTCTTGCGTATCACATCAACTGGGAGACACATACTCCAAATATAGGTGAAAAATGATATATTGCTACATACATATTGCTACATAAATAAGGGAAGTTGACGATAGAGTTGAAGTCATATCGTTTATAATAAAGTTTCGTTGTTAGGTTTCCAATTACTTTTTTCAGTAAAATATGAAATAGATGTGTCAGACACGGTGGTATCTTTTATTTAGAGTTAACTGGAATATATCAAGTGGACATAAGAGTGGAAATAACTGTTAATTGATACAATGTAATACGTTTGTCGATATATTTCCAAATACTTGAAATTAATAAAAATGAATGTTAAATTTGTAGAAAATCGCAATGTTCATACTATTTTCACATAATTGTCCTATCCAACCACGCGTGCATCTCAAGCATGTTCCATTTATGATGTTGCATCTTTGGTCTTCACAGTTGACTGAGCATTTTTGATCACAATTTCTTCCATAAAAATTTCTACTGCAACCTGATGAGAAAGAAAAACAAAAAAAAATTCGAAATTGGATCATACTGTTAATTTGAAATAATCTTCCTCTTATCCACTTAACGGAATCTTTACTTTAATGAATATAATAACTGATATTTGACATTTATAAGAAGAGTCTTAAATGCAAATTTTGAATAGAAATTGTTTGATTCATTCTAAATTTGGTTGCATAAAAATTATCAAATATGAATGTAAGAAATTCATAAATGTTTTCTGTATGTTACACTATCATTTCTGAAAATTCATTGAGCTTTTGCAATGTAATTTTCTATTATCAAAACTCAATATGACCTAAAGAAGATCTCCATTGATTTGTGGGTCCAAAGGGTCAAGTACAGAATTTCATACATTGCAAAAATTATTTCAGGATGATTACTTTAGCTTCTTTTGAGCTTTTCAATGAAATTGTATGCCAAAACTCTCAATACCTTAAAATTTAAAGGAAACTTGATAATAATAATGATTTTGATGTCAAAAGGTGAAGGTCATAATATCATACATTCTGTGTGTGTGTACCACTTGTTTACTGACAATTTATCAAAAAGCCTTTGACCATTTACAATGAAATTTTAATTCACAACCCCGATGTCCTAAAAAGATCCCTTGATTTTGAGGTCAAAAAGAAAAGGTCAGAAATTCATTCATTCTCTCCGTTTTTTTTTTTGTTTGATTTGTTTTGTTTTAGTTTTTTTTTTGTAGCACTTGTTTAGGAAAGGTTCTCAGAAAGCTTTTACGTTTTACGTTTCCGACATGAAATTACATATTACAAACACAGTAAATGCAAATATTTGTATATACTCTCAACCTTTTTGACATTTCTAAATTTTTCGCGCTTAAAGGCTGCCTTTGCTCTCTTTAGAAAAAATTGGACTTCCCATCAAACAAGGACGCTTTATATGTAAATCAAGCTTTCTTGAATTGGCCCGGGTCAAAAATGTAGAGTCAGAGAGATAAAATGAACAACAGATAATCAGTGAAGTTCAGTTGAATCTTCGGTGCAGGTAATCTAAAAAAAGGGACAAGTCCTCTGAAACAACGACATGTTGTCTACCTATTAAAAATTTAACTACTCAACAATACAAATTAACGGTTCAGAAATCTTATTCTTTGAAAACTAATGGCTAGGTCAACTATCATCTTATTTTTTGCCATGCCAATTAGCGAAAACTTGCAAAAGACCTTTTTCTTAATATAACAAAATATATGATAAGTGGAACCTTTGACTTTCACTTCACACAAATCAGTATATGACTTAATTTCGTATCCATCAGGATAAACAACTCCATTCAATCTTTCATTGTAAAAGATTACATAACATCCGTATCCCAAACAAGTTGTCGTAAAATTCAATGGAGGTAACTCTGGTCCATCTTTGTAACAAAGAGAGGCGTTGTCTCTATCACTGGACTCTGATAAGTACAGAGAGAAGCCGGCAAAGCGGCCTCTTTGTCGATATTCTGGAAAAATATGATATGGTAAGGTTTTATAGCTAAAACATGATTACTAGAAGATACTGACGGGTCCATTTTCTTCGTTTTTAGAAATTAAATTAAAATTTAAATAAAAAGTCCGCAGGTAGGTTAAGGCTTCCCGTAGAATATCACAGTGCACTCTGTGCCTTCACATCTCTGAACTACCAAAATATGACGTCATAATGGAAAATGACGTCAAGTTACTGCAAACTTGAGGTGTTATGACGGGGAGAGTGTCATGAACTTTACACTTAATTTTAAACTGCATGTAAAATGCTAGATAGCTATTGCAAAATTCACCGGTCGTTTAAGGTTTTTTAAGTCTTATATGTCCGAATATTTTAAAAATACACTGCTTACCTACCCTTGATTGAAATTCAACATGTTCAAAATGCTTATGAAAAATATACTTTTGAAATGTACTCTGTTTTATACCCGTGGTTGGAGGTAGAATTTATTGTGTGTGTATAAAAGAGTCTGGCGCAGGTGATTCATGAGGATTAATCTAAGAATTTTTGTGGAAAGTTGAATTTCTCAGGAAATATTTTGTATCTAAGTAATACTATGACTTTTCCCAAGCACATTTCGGATACACGAGGATAAGATGAGTTTATTTATATAACAAAATGTTAATAATTATTGTGTTAATCAGCTGCGCCGAAGCGATTTATATGAAACACTTCAAAAAATTATAAATGACCGTCACGTGATCAACAAAGTCATGTGATATCATAACAAATATGTTAATATATAGCCGAGGAAACCCACTATCTAAATTGGAAGTACTTAAGTTCAGTACTTATAAATTAAAACCAAAACCGACCTCGCAACGACATATTATGTTTTGAGCGCATTTAAAAGCTTCGGGAAGCCTTAACATAGCTGCGTCATGCATTAATCTTGAGATGATGATTTAAGATCCAGTGTCTCTCTCATCAGAAAGTGACTTCACAAGAAATTGAATCTGAAAATATCCAATAATTCGTTTCATCATTTGTTATTTATTTACATATTTACTTGATTAACTGTAATATTCCTACAGGGCTATAACACCAGGGTTCTCCACTCCATGGTGCGTTTAATATGGCGGTCCGGCCACAGTTAAATTCCTCAGCGCCACAGTTAAACATTTAGCGCCATAGTTCCGCCACAGTAAAATATTAGCGCCACGGTTTGATCATTGTTGACCAAAAAGATAAATATATAAATTTATAAATCTCAAAATAAACCTTTAAACCATATACTATTTTTAATATACAGTTTCAAAATGCTTAACCGTAAATGTACTCTAATTTGGGCCCACTGTTTGGTTTGTATTAACTATTCTCCAGACTCCACTGGACTTTAAACATAAGCCATTTCTACACACTTCCAGTAATTGCACATGTAATTTTTGGTGCCATAAGTTACTACGCTTTTACTAAAAATACTCATTTCTCTGAAATTGCAACTGTTCTTTGAGTTAAAAACATCTTCGTTTCTAACATTTTCTTGAATTTTCTTTTACTAATGTATGAAGTGGTACTGTATATTTTTCTAACTTTCTAACATTTACACCTAATTTATTCTCCTCTTACAAATTAATACATTTTCTATTTTTCTATAAGACCAAAAAATTGTTTAATGTACAAGGTATTATGAGAGGTAATCGGTATTTTTATTGGTAGTATATTTTTCTTTAGAAAAAAGGAAAAGTTTAAAGAAACATAACTCTTGCAGTTGGACACATTTTTTTTTACAAGCATATATAAACGACATGATATTCTGACTTGTATAGCATCGCTTCATTATGTTTTCTTATATGGATAAAATGTATGACACTATTATAATTAAACAAACCTCATATGTTTAATTTTATGTTGTGATAATAAAGTAGTTCTCTTTCTATCTACTGTGTCAAATTTCTTCCTAACAGGGTTAGACTTTCAAAACGTAAGCCTCGCTCCATATCTCAAACCTTATTCTATTTAAATATTTTGTTTTGTTTTGTTGATGAATATCAATGTTAATACTGCAAAACATTTTTTATTTTGTGTTTAATCCTGTCGCCTTAAAAATTGTGCATAAACGGGACAGTGGTAGTATCTACATCGTTACGTGCTAATAAACACTTTTCATACAGAGGTGTTTTTTTTTTTAAAAAGGGATTACTTATGCCCCTTAGGGTTAATTAATCTTAGTTTATAACTAATACATTGCTAACCTATCAATTGTCATTACATATATAGTTCAAAGTACTCAAAATCATCTATGCATACATAAATGGTGCGAAATAATTCTTACGTTTTTTCAAACAAATAGTAGTTCACCTTGAATTTAAATGGATTACTCCCTTACAGTAATTACTATAATTTACAAAAGTTTACCGCAATTAAATATAATAAATTCTTTGATACTTTGGTTTACTAAGAAACTTAACTGTACATTCTTTTGTGATTTAGGGCTTTAACATTTCTCAAATGTCACGTAATTGATGTAAAATTCAGAATGTGATCTAATATATATATAAAATATTTTTTTTAATATTAAAAAATCATCTAAGACATGCAAAAATAAAATAAAGTTAAAGTGTATCCAGTTCCTAAAGACCAAGCCTATTTCCTGAGGTAAAGCAGAATTATGTGTGTTAGATCCTGCCTCCTTATATTCAATTTTAACTGAGCTCCTTATGACTATTCATGATTTTATTTGGAACTTTTTGGCATTTTCGTATGATTTAAAGATATTGCTAGGTGTATAAAAGTTCATCAAACTGCCGCATCTTTTTGCAGGTAATCAGTCTTTTTTACGGTGCCTTTCAGGGAACCAGCAAAATATATCGTTTTACTCTGATACAGTGGAATAATAAATTGCAGTAAGTTGAATAGTCAAAATACTTTATATACTTTATTCAGTAAAACTATATATACTATATTAAAATCTTTGATACAATAGTTTGAAACTATAGTTAACTATTTTTAGTAAACTATAGTGAAGTATACATTGTACTATGTAGTTTTTCTCCTTAGGGCTCCGTTTATTACCAATGGGCAGTGGATGCCTTCTAGGCACCTGAGCCAACCACTATCAGGAGTCCGTGTTTGCCCTCCTCTTAGATATTTTTTTTCATTGTTGGAGTTGATAACTGGATATCATCAAGAGCACGTTTTACAAGAACGATTAATTTGTAAGTTAAAAAAAACAGTCATTGTTTCAGTAATTCGTCGATTTCGTAAATGTATCTGTATCACAATTTCCAAAATTGAAGTACTTACATACACATACTATAATTACAGGGTTTGAAATGCATTCATTAAGAACTTGTTTAATGTAAATTCCTACCGTAACCAGTCACGTCTTTAAACAGTATATTGATGCTGTAAATACTGTAAATATCGCCCATATCCACTTTCCACCAAACTGACTTTTCTACTGCGTACGATCCACCGATCACACTGCTACCTGCACATGTACTTTCGTCTCTATCCACTGCATTACTTGAGATAAAAAGTTTTTACATGCCGTAACTTGGCATGGTCTTGTTAAGGACTGATTTGTTGGTTTATTGAACGACAAATCCACTTGAAAAGATACAAACATTTTTTTAATATAAAATATAAAATGTATAAGAGCAAATAAAAAAAATGTTTTAACTGTATTGTAAGACACACGTATTGAGAAATTAATTTTGTATATACATGTACATTTAAGACTTTCCATCTGAAAGAGTGAAAGGAAAACTCATGTGATTTCAGAGTAAATCATTAAATATTCACAGTTTTGGTCTGATTCCAATATAACTTGGCACACAAGTAGACGATCTAAGATACATAATTCTGTATATCGGTTTTTGATTTCGAAGAACAGTGTTGTCATGGTTACTAAAATTAGACATTTATGTGAAATACATTCAAAATGCCACTAATATATTTTTGGTCTGATTTCAGTATAACTTGGCATACAAGTAAACAACACTAAGATGCATGATTCCATTTATCGGTTTTTAATTTCGATGAATGGTGTTGTCATGGTTACTAAATTAGAAATTTCTGTTAAATTCTGTCAAAAGGCCACTCTACCTACTGTTTTACTTTTTTGCGATAAATGTTGCACCAAAAAGAGACTAAACCAGGGATCACTATTCTATTTATTACTGTTGCAAAGTACAAACCAGTAGAGCTACAGTCTCATCAGAGACTTCTGGTTTTTGTAAAAGAGTCTCCATGGGAGGGTATCTCCATGAGAGGATACTTGTGTGGGTACGTGTTTTATATGGAATGAGGATGTCTATTAGATACGTCATGGAATGAGGATGTCTATTAGATACGTCAGTTTCAGATAATATACCAAGCCTAAAAGGTATGAAATTCCATAAGTTTGAAGTGATGCATAGTTATAATAAAATTTACAGCATATTTATTTTAGAGTGAAAACCGTACACCTTACACGAATTTTACCTATAATAAAGAGAAGGTAAAGTAAAAAAGTTTTAGAAAATTCAAAGAATTAGCAAGGCACACTGGATTTTCAGTCGATTTTTTCATACATACCGTATCCTGAGGAAACAGAGATTCCAATCAAAAGCAACATAAACTCTCTAAGGTGCTCCATTTCTTTTTTTTAACATGTAAACTTTCGTGTCCAGGAAGTTATAAATGCTTTAAAAACTCTTCCTATGGTGAGACATTTTAGACAAAGTTAATTTCTAAAACCAATGTTCTGAATTACTCCTTACAAACAATGAATAAACATATTTGTATTTTGTACGTAAGTCCTTTCATTTTCATACAATCGTAAGTAATTTTTCAATCTTTAGAGAACCCGAAGAATTTTGTGTTAAATAAAAAAAATTAAATTCGCAAAAAATGGGATAATATTTGCATGAAATAGTAGATTAAAAGAAAGATCACTGATTAGATTCTTTATGTAAATCCTGTAAAATTATTTATTTACTAATATATTTTCCAATGTCTTGTTGATTTTGTGCTTTAAATAGAATACATCTAAATACCTACATTGTAACAACAGTACTGCTTTACCGCAGGTAGGTTAAGGCTTCCCGTAGAATATGACAGTGCACTCTGTGCCTTCACATCTCTGAACTACCAAAATATGACGTCATAATGGAAAATGACGTCAGGTCACTGCAAACCTGAGGTGTTTTGACGGGGAGAGTGTCATGAACTTTACACTTTATTTCAAACTGCATGTAAAATGATAGATAGCTATTGCAAAATTCACGGGTCGTTAAAAGTTTTTTAAGTCTTATATGTCCGAATATTTTAAAAGTACACCGCTTACCTACCCTTGATTGAAATTCATCATGTTCAAAATGCTTATGAAAAATATACTTTTGAAATGTACTCTGTTTTATGCCCGTGGTAGGAGGTAGAATTTATTTTGTGTGTATAAAAGAGTCTGGCGCAGGTAATTAATGAGGATTAATCTGAGAATTTTTGTGGAAATCTGTAAGAAAAGGTTGTTCTCTAACTGAATCTTGCTTGGAAAAAATGTGTGTTGGCTTTGTTTTAATACAGATTACGATATTGTGTGGAAAATACCCTCAAATTTGTAGGTAAGTTGAATTTCTCAGGAAATAATTTGTACCCAAGTAATACTATGACTTTTCCCAAGCACATTTCGGATACACAAGGATACGATGAGTTTATTTATATAACAAAATGTTAATAATTATTGTGTTAATCAGCTGCGCCGAAGCGATTTATATGAAACACTTCAAAAAATTATAAATGACCGTCACGTGATCAACAAAGTCATGTGATATCATAACAAATATGCTAATATATAGCAGAGGAAACCCTTTATATAAATTGGAAGTACTAAAGTTCAATACTTATAAATTAAAACCAAAACCGACCTCGCAATGACATATAATGTTTTGAGCGCATTTTAAAGCTTCGGGAAGCCTTAACATAGCTGCGACATTCTCAATTCAATTTGGGCAACGCATAATGGCAGTAAATACATGTTAAGTATCAAGGAAATCTCAGTTTCAGTGCATTATCACAAACTTAATCTCAAAACAGTTACTTCCTGGTGAATACAAGTACTCTTCTTTCCGTTTCCACTTTTAGCAGATAATTGTGCTTTGGATGCACTACTGCAATGCACATTATTTTCCTTGTGGCATTCTTGTAAGATAAACATGTTGTATTTGTAATTATTTTTAGATAGTCGAAAAAGGCTGAAATTAACAAGTATTTCAAATACAAAGAAGTGTACTGTTGTTTTTCCCCCTCAAATTAGACAGACATGCATTTGAAGCACTTGAAGATCCAAAAGAATGTTTAGGCTTTTTTTTCAAATGTACGTCTCCCAGAGAGAGATGAAATATGTTTTGTTTTTTGGTATGTTATGATACATTTTTTTTCTGTTCATTTATGAAGGAACGCAAGTACAATGTACGTGTTTTACTTCATTTTTTCTGGCTGTTCAAATATCATGCAAAATAACCAACATCAGAATATGGTGAAATACAAGGAATGACTCTAGGATGAGAAAAAAATGATAAACATATGATGTGGGTCTGATTAAAGATACTTTCTGTATTCAGTCAATAATTCAGGCCACCTTTAAAATGATGTTTGTTTGCCCTCTCTCGACTCAGGATAAAAATATTGGGTATTTCGGTAGGTGGGGAATTATTTTCAACAAAAATTTTCAACATCAATGCTGAGATTTCAAATTCTGTTAAAATAGAAGGTATTAAAACAATTAAAATAGTTGTTGACGGGATGAAGAATTCCTGAATGAATAAAAAATATCGTTTCCTGGAGGAAAAAAGTTTTGAGTCGGGCCATTTTTAGCCAGTCGGTCGGGAGACGGCATATAAACATTTTTTTTTAATAAATGGCCTCAAGGACTAGTTATATACAGAACCCAATTACATCACGTCTCATATTAAGAGACATAACTCCAGTTTGTACATGAACATACAAGTTTTTGATGTATGTATACGTTGAACTGGGATTCTTTCAAGACATAACGATAATATGTTTCAAAAAGGACAAAAAGGTGTCCCATTAGGTAATAAATTAATGTCTCAACATTGTTCAATGTTATTTCTTGTGTTTAAGATCAGAATGAAGTCAGAAGATAACGAACAGTAGCCATGCACATTAGTCCATTGAAACAATACTAATCAGAAGCAGAACAAACAAGACCTCTAAAATCATCAGAGGTGGGATCGGGTGCCGAGGAGTAAGCATCCCCTGTCGACCCGTCAAATTCACCGTGTGCTCCTTGTCATGATAGAGTAAACGGGAAAAAATAAAAAAAAAAATCAATGTGATAATAATGCCTCTACTATTTGTATGAAAAACATCAGTCAAAATTCGACTTAATTATAGATTGTATTTGCCGACAAGGTCATTATATCGACCAAAGAACTTGCAGAATGTTATATTTGAAGAGACTGTTGATATCCTTGTTTCTTCTACTTATTTATCGGTAGTTCGCCTCGTTAACGTTTAGAAATAAGTCGCAGCTAGACCATGCTATTGCGTATCGAATCAACTGGGAGACATAACCTCTATATTCAGGTGTTAACAGTATATTGGTACATAAATAAGGAAAGGTGATGATGGAAAAGCTAAAGCCATTAAGTTTTGTTGTACTTGTACCAGTAACGTCTTTTTAGTAAAATATCCAAATATGAAATAGACCTGTCAGACTCTGTGGTATCTTTTATCTCGAGTTCAGAGGGAATATCGAATCAACGTAGGAGTGAAAATGAATATTGTTTATAGATAAAACGTCGTCGATATAACTTAATGTTTTGAAGGCCATAGCATGAGACTTCTTGCTATACGTATGAAAAATTTTGAAAACGAGGCAAGCAAATGACAAACAAGTTGATGAAACAAGAATATCAACATTCTCGTTTGAGGTCATCATTCCGCAAGTTTCAAATTTCACGGTAGATACAAACACAACCTATCTTAATGACTAATGTTGACTGACGTTTCTCATGCTTATTGTTGGGGTATTATTTACACACTGAATTGTCTACGGACTTCTCCGTTTTCCCGATCATGACAAGGGGCACACGGTATGTGTGACCGACCGTCGGCAAGGAGATGCTCAATCCTGCATGGCGTCTGATCCCACCTCTGATGTTTTTGGAGGTCTGTATTTACCCTGCTACAGATTTGCATTATTTAAATAGATTTTGAGCTTGAAATATGTTCGTTTTCTCTATATTTCATTCTTTGAATGTAGAAGTTTTTGATTGAATCCCGCTTTGTATGAATACAAAAATATAAATATGCTGATAACGGGACGCTTATCGAAGATAACAGCATGGTTAGTTTCGTTAGAAAAATCCTAACAACCCTAAAGACTTTAATCCATATGACGGGATGGATACTCCTATACTCATGACTTCAGCAGTCTTCCTGAGACGAAAATTTTTACAGAAGTTTTGCTATATACATGTATTCCAATGTTAAATTGAAATACCAAAAATAAATATCTTTATTAACAGCTTCAGCTATGTTAAATAAAAATGGAAAACGAAATATTTTTTATCTAGTCATGAATGCCTCAGAAGAACAAATACATGCTTTGCTAAGACACAAAGGATTAAATGGATTCCGTGGACAATCATGGCTATTATTTGGCCTTATACACTTGCTTATTCATTATATAACAATTTTATTGGTTGATATAGATAAGCACTTTAAGCGTTACTAAACTTTAATTATAAAAGTGACGTTCATGTGAACTGTATTACATTTTCCCTTATTTATACATGTATCAAATTATCAAGTTAAATCTACTCACAAAAAGTAACTTTTGTCGTAATATTTATTTTTGGGGTGCGTTAGAGAGAAAGATTTTAGTTTTATCTTTGCTTGAAGTTGATGAGTGATGTGTTTATATATTATAGAATTAAGAAACCATTATTTTGGGAGTAATTCCATTCCAAATAACTGTAAATAAATCTGAAAAATTTTTGGTTTAAAACATAACCCGTCTGTTTGGTTTTTGTTGAATGTCCAAGTTTGTAAGGAGAAAGGCCCGAACGTTGTCTCCCCAATAATAAATTTCAGCATCATACAAAAGCCATGCAATGTTTTATTTTTTTCTTTTGTATTCTATTGTGTACCCTGACAATGTTTTACATATATATTCAAAACCTCAAGAAAAGTAGATGTAGTATTTTCTTTCGTTTTCATTCGTAGAAAATAAATAAAAGGAATGCTTGTTGTATGAGTGGTTATCAAAAAGTTCTTGGTCTGATGCGCTAAAATTAATTCTATGCAGTTGGTATGTATACAATTTATAAGGAGCGTAAAAAACAAAGGTTATCAGATTTGCATTGCTTATAGATTTTTTTTTTTTTAGTTCGGTCACTATTCGTTATCTTCACCTTATACATTGAGGCTTTGTCGTAAATTAAAATATGAAACAAAGAAATAGATAGCTTATGAAATACATTTTATGCATACACGACAAATACAAATTGAAAAGCAAAGTAAATTAGAAAAAAAGGAATGGATAAATAATTGACAAAATATTAACTGTACAATTAGGCCTTCTCATGTCCCGTGATTAGTGTTAGAAAGTATTTTGAAGTCAGTACAATATCATTAAAGTAATAGTTTTCATTAAAGTGTTCTTAAACTTTAAAAAAAAACGTTTTACCTAAGATTACTTCGAATCATTGGGATATCAAAATCATTTAAAATCAATATTTCAAAATATTAATGTTATATTTAACAAAATACAAACCATGAAATAAATAAAAGCGGGTATTAAACTCTTCTTAATTTATAAGTTCATGTAAATCTAAAAATCAAAGGCATAAAAATAACATTTAACTACAGTATTTCATTGTTAAAAAACTAAAAATGCAAAGTGGTGAATAAATAAAAGCTTAAAAGCAAACATTGGGAGAAAATTTATCACCAATAAGTTTTACTTTAATCTAAAAAGGATCAAGGGTCGTGAAACAAACTAAAGATGAATAAATATGCAGTTCCATTTCAATAAGTAAGTTTCAAGCTCTTCTAAATTGAGGGTATGGGGGTTGGGGTTGGATTTGCATAGATATAATGTATATAAAAAATATTTTGCTGTTCATTATACTTAATGTATTTTAAATTCACACGAAGTGATGGCACTCATAGGGTAAAACATCCATTATTATTATCAGAGAGTTTTCACTGAAGTCTTTCTTTGATAATTATTCAAGTTTCCTCCCTTTGTCTAACAATTCGCGTAAACACTGTCATTCTGCATGTATTCAGCGACAACATCATAACAAAGCTGGTATTCCTCCTGAAAATATAGGAAATATGGTATACAATGCTCTCATTTCATCTGATGATAACTGTTTTTATGTCACCTTATACATGTTATAATGCAGATTCCTGATTTGTATGAACTACATGTAGATACAATGTGAAGTAGCACTTTTAACAAATGTATAGAATAATTTCATCTCAGACTGCTAAAACAATTCAATGCAAACAGCAGCAGGCTGGCACTCAGAATGAACAATAAACTCTTCATTAGAGTCTTTGCTTTGAAATCAAAGTTACCCATATTTTTTTGTAGTTTTTAGTTGAACTATTAGCGAGTTCAGTGTACCTTAACTTTACATTTATACACAGCTTTATTTCAAATTTAATTCATATAAATATCAAATGAATTTTTGTCATATGCCTAATTACATGTACGTGCAATGCAGAAGTTAAATGTATCCATATCGTCAAGAAATACTTAGCATAACTGTTACTTCGGGAAAATGTCCATCACGGGATTGGATAAGTTACGCGCCTATTCATTAGACGACAATTATAATCAATCATTAAATGATTAAGCTATGTTTTGTAAGCTTCATTATAATAATACAATAACTCTGTGTAAAACCTGATAAACAAGATTTCCAGAGATATTCACTTTACATTTTTCATGCAAAAAACAAAAGTGTTTTGAAATTAAAATTCCCAAACGTAATCAAAAGGGTAAGCAATGATCACACTTATCCAACGTTAAACCTTACACACACTTAAAGGGCAAAAGTTCTCACCAGGGTAGAAACAAACTCAGGTCTACGAATCTGAAGTTGCCTAGTGATGGTGAAGATGTCCACTTCTTTATCCATTGAGAGTTGTTCCAGGGCGTTATAGACAACAGCAAACGCCCCACATCGTGTCGCTCCATCACTAACAGACACATGCAATAAATCAACTAAATATAGATCGGTATATTGATGTCGATAAAACGTGCTAGGATTAGTTGTTAAAAGGCTCAGACTGATGTTACTGATATCAAGAGCAGATTTTCATTAGAAAATTGCCCAAAATCACACAGAGCTGAAACATACCTGGACAAAATAAGTATTTTTTCTTCATCCTTATCTTTCTCTGATTTTGCTTCTTTGACCACGTCAAGTAGCACTCTTTTGTCTACAAGGGACCTCCCTTCTTTCCAGGTCTTGCATTCCAACACAGTTATTCTCATGTCGCTACCTCCCTACAAAATAAAACGAGTGTGTTTCATGAAGCGCATGCCTTTCATACACGAAGTTAAAAAGAACTATTTAATGGTACCTATGACGTATAAACATAACAAACCTTTGGCTGCAAAACTATATTCCTGGTTGTAAAGTTTGCAGAATTTGTTGATGTTGCCAGATTAAGTACAAAACTGCCACAGGTTTTGTTCTCGGATTTTGATGGAACCCAAAGAGTTGACTGGTAAAATGAGACAAATATATTTATTTTAAGCAAGATTGTTATGCGTGTATAGTACGAAAACCACTTTTTTCACGAAATGATATTACTTACATGTTTTCCTTTATTTATGTTATATTTTCATAAAAAAATCAAATGGACTCATATTTCTTTCTTATTACATCTTTCAATGATATATATAGTTATCTTACGGATTTTATTTCCTTCAAAGGACCTAGGAAAACCACAACACGAGCATCAAAATCTCTGATGAGTCTCAAAAGGTCTTCAGTGTATTCAGGAAGTGGGTACTGAGCGCTGATTAGACAGTCATTTTCAGTGAAGGACTATCAAAATATAATTATTATGTAATTGATTTTCCTTTTTTTCCCTTAAGAACGAGTATAGAGATGCAAATGAGTAATCTCACAGTACAATCTCAATTGGATTTTCCAATGAAAAATTAAAAATAATTATATACGTATAATTATGTAAAATTTAAATTATTTATTTTCTGGTTTAATTAACAGACTTCGAGGAACCATTGTCATCTTTAATTAAGATATAAAGTATTCTTTCATCTTATCTTTTGGATGAACCACTTTATCCATACGGAAGATGAAATGGTAAATCTACTTACTAGGAAAGCATTACATTTAAGGGCAATATCACGATGTAATACTTATAAAAATCCGACCTGTAGTAGAACAGCGTTGTAGTAGTTGTTTCTTCCCTTTGTATAGGACAAATAACACAGGAATTTTTCAACTGAAATACATTTATGAAAAGGGTTAAAATATTAGGGGAAAAACTGTAGAAATTTACAATCACATGTTATTTGCAAGATTTTTTTCAAACTATATCTACTGACATGAGTTAAATAACTGATATTATTTGCATTTTTTTTTTCTTTTTTGCAAACAATTTCTACTAACAATTCCAACATGAGGGAGATAACTAAATATTGATGTAAAAAGTATTATGACCTGCAAAACGATCTCTGTATAGTTAGCCGATAGTACAAAAACCTCCACAAAATTTACAATCAATCATTTTTTTTTTTAGTTTCCTTCGACCGAATTATTACTACTAAAAATTCCAATTTGATTTAAACACACGGAATTAGACATTGATGTAGAGAATACTGAAGTTTACCCGGTAAAACACTCTGTGTATAGTTGGCTGATTTGTTTGTATGTCCAGATTCACAATCTTTCTCAGCATAATTTATCCGAAGAGACTGTAGAGTCTACAACAATTACGAATGAACAAATATATTCACTGCACAGTTAGATTAAATTAAATTCGGGGGCATATAGTTTTTGCCCTGGTCGTCTGTCAGTCTGTCCGCAAAGACTTTAACCTTGCCCATAACTTTCGAACAGTTGGTGCTCTGGTTTCAAACTTCATATGTGTATTCCTTGTGACAAGACCTTTCTTTGGATACTAACAACTTAGACCTTGTCCTTAAAGTTTAACCTACTGGTGGAAAAAAACTTTAACCTTGGCCATAACATGAGAACATTTTGTAATATGGCTTTCATACTTCACATGTATATTCCTTGTGACAAGACCTTCCTTTGAATACCAACACCTTTGACATAAACCCTTGAGTTTGACCTACTTTTGAAAAACTATAACCTTTGTCATCACTTTCAAACAGGGCTTTCAGGGCTTGCCAGGGCTTTCATACTTCATATATGCATTCCTTGTGACAGGGCCTTCCTTTGGATACCAATAATTTTGGCACTGACCTTGACCTTAGAGTTTGACCTACTTTGAAGAAATTTTAACCTTGACCACAAAATTTGAACGTTTGGTTCTAGGGCTTTCACATTTCACGATCATGTGTAACACTTGTGACAAGACCTTTCCTCTGGCACAATTTGAGCTGACGTTTTACTAACTTTTTAAAAAACTTTAACCTTCGCCATAACTTTTCAACGGTTGGTGCTAGGGCTTTCATATTTCACATGTATATTCCTCAAGACAAGGCCTTTCATTGGGTACCAACATTTTTTATCTCTTAACCTTGAGTTTGACTTGCATTTGAGAAACTTTAACTTTCGCCATAAGCTGCCATACAGGGGCATCAGTTTTTCACAAACACATCTTTTTTTAATTATTACTGGTATCATCTAAAGTTGTATTAAAAAATAGTACAATCATTATTAACTTGTGAATCATTTCGTTAGGTAATAACCGTAAATAAATCAAATAACATGTTCTTGATTTGATAATAAAATGAAGAAACGTGCATTTTGCTATTGTAAAGTGCGTTGAATTTACCTGGAAGTCTGAAGACAGGGAAGTTGTACTTGAAACTTCCCCATAATTTGTGTAGCAAGATCTATCTTGAGATTGTTGTGAGAGTGTATCAGCTGTCAAACATCTAGACCTCCCACTGAATGATTCACAAAGGGCAAGATAAACAACTCTGTACTGGTCCTGATTGATGAGAAAGTTGTATGTTTTATAATACAGAATCGAATTCAATCTTTTATATAAAAATATAAGCATGTACAGATATAAAATATGCTTACGAGAATCGAGTTACCCACTTACAGAAATATGTTATACAAATCCTTAGTGCTACAACCCCCCCCCCCCCCAAAAAAAAAAAAAAAAAAAAAAAAAACTTACTCCTTTCTATAAATATTAATTGGTAGAAGTTTACGGTATAATGTTAAAATTTTACACCACGAGAAATCATTGTTAACCAACGTTTTCGAGGAGTGAAAAAAAAAATCCCAACATTTTCCTGGGCAAGAGATCAAAGAGACACCAAACCCTAGCTGCCGGCTTTGTTTTCTCGGACTGTTCTCTCCTCCAGCTATATGCAATATATGTTTTTTTTTTGCCTGTTACACACAACCGTCTGTAAAAATCTACGGGGAAGTGAATGCATATACACTATTTCAATTTTATAATACTAGCCATTGTCAAGTAATGTGTCCCTTTGCTAGATAATATCACCCAAAGCGCGTGGTCTCTTTTCTCAGAGGGTACCAATCTTAATCTCCCAACAAATCAGATTCCACAATTATATATGAAAGTATAATAAAGGGTTTAATTACCCTTCTGTCTCATATTCTGACAAGTCGTACGTGAACATTTTATCGATTTATAGAAGATATAGAGAATTAACAGAATGTTCCATTTAATCGATTTTTTTTTCTCGTATATCATTATTTCTTATTTTCTTGGATGTTTTATTTGCCAACATCAATTTGTTCTTATGGTAATTACATACTTAGTTACCAGCTATACTGATCCTATGTTTATTTATCAAGGCAAATGCTAATAGAAGTAACATTAATACTGGAAATGTAAAAAAAAAAAAAAAAAAAAAAAAAAAAAAAAAAAAAAAAAAAAGATATATTGCATTTCAGCATTGGAGATCTAAGCCGTTAACACCATGTTATTTACTATCCATTTACATATATTACTAACAATTGTCTGACTGAAAAGTAGATTATCCTAGTTTTTTTTTCTAACCTGAAAATGTTTGCTGAAATACTTATATTGGGAAAAAGTGTTTACAAAGGATTTGAATGCTTGTGAAATGTCAGGAAAACTGCTTAGCGTGAAATTACTAATTTTGGTGGAGATTTGAACTTTAATGTGGCGAGACCATCGAATTTATGTCCTCCATGAACTGTTAAGTATTAAATGTGTAATGACTTTGCAATCTTTCAACCACGAAGTCGAATCCCCTTGAACCGATGTTTTATCCTCAAACCTCTAAAATGTGACCTCTTGAAAATATGCGATTTTATGATATGCTTCAGATTCGTTGCGGGATGCTGCGTACTGATTCTTATAACAGTAACAACATAGTTACGTTTTTTTCTGATGATGCTAATGTATATCATACATTCATAAAACGTAGTTGGTAACTACGAGAAAGAAATATACAAATATGTCTTGCTTTTGAAAAAGGAATTATATCAACATCTAAAGCTAACACTTTCTGGAAAAACCAACCTTTCTTTTTTTTAATTGCAATTCAAAACGAGATTCTTTTTCTTGTTCAAATAGTTATTTATGTTAAGGCTTTAATAGAATATTTACATTTAAGTACGGCATGTTTCAGTATGAAACCTTTTCTTTAATTTCGAAACTTCCTAACAAATCAGATTGAGGATGGTTTAATTCTTCTTTTGAGAAAGCTGTACAAACAGGGAAATATTTGAACAAGTCATACAGGGAAATATCTTTGCATGACAACAGTGAAACGATTGGAAAAGATTATTAACCTTTAGTTTCTTTTTTTTTAATTGAGGAAGGGTTCGGGGAGAAATACAACATAAGAATTTAAGCACGGTGGAATGAGGAAATTTTTATAGCTAATTACGCTTAAAACTTCTTCTGCCAGGTGATTTAAAAGGAAATATATTACTGTCAGTGTGTTTTAAACTAAATGAAAGAAAATTATGCATCATACATTTATGTTATGAGAGCTTTTGTATCCAGGAGACCAAGCCATATTATGTAACTAAATAATGCTTCCCTGTTGCGTTTAAGACATAGAATGCGGAAAATATTGTGCATATCCTTGTAGAGTATGGACGGACAGGAATTAAGAATAACCATAGAAGCGCCTCTTTATTAATATATTCTTTGTGTATACGCTGATTTTTATCCATGCAAGTACTTACGGAAAATCCCATGTTAGAAACAACAAATGTTAAAGAAACTTTTCTGTTTAAAAGATCAGATATTGGGACCAACCTCTATTATTTCAACAAATTTTATATGAGACTGATACTTTTAAATTTGGTAAAATAATGTTAAAAAAAACACATGGTTTTTGCATAGAATTCAGAAAAATAAACGGAAACAAAAATAATAAAATTACATCGCCTTGTATCATGTTCATTCTGTCTTTTCTCATGGTCCTGACGTACATCGGTACATTAACTTTACCATTTCTCTTCCCCTCCCGGTAGAGGGCGTCCAAAGCTAAGTAAGTTCCGGTTCTCCCGATTCCAGCACTGGAAAAAATATATCATCTGAATATATCATTAAGGCTTCATCACAATATTTTTCGTAGTTTTATCTATGTTAATATGAAGGTATCAAACAGTGATCAACATAATGAATCCAGAAAAGTATACGACAAGCGATCAGGGGAAAAACACGGACCCCCGGAAACACCACAGGAGGATTCAGGTGACTAGGAGGAGTAACCATCACCTTTCGAACACCCTGAGCCCTTTGTATTGACTAGAGAAATTAGTCTGTAGTCAAAATTACTATAAAACAATGACCTAACTATTGGTATGAAATATATCAGACAAAATACGACCAAACGATAGGCTGTATTTGCAAACAAGTTTATATCAATCTCGCTCTTGTAATAAGGTTTTTTGGACTTAAAATAAACAATGAATTCACGATGGGGTACATTATGAAACCAACTTGTCCTTCACACGGTAATGCATTTTATTCACTATGTACATGTAGATATAGCATTGAGTCAAATTATTAAATAAAAGGGAGAGGGAATAATGATCTTCAACAGTTCATCAACCTTTAATATTTTATTTGATTTTACCAAGTAAAAACTTACTCTAGGTTTCCATTTTGATTTTAATTAATCTATTGAATGTTAGATACGCCGATGAATTGCTATTGAATTTTATTTTATCAGGTTTATTGTAAAACTCGAAATAATTACGTTTCAGCTGAGTGATACAAGCTTTGCTATACCCAGTTAAAATTGCAATATTTTCCCTTTTTTGTGTGAAAATTGTCAGTTTTTATAAGCCGATTTCGAAAATACTCGAAGTTTGCTATTAAGTGTTTGACTGTATTCATTTGAAAGACTGAATATCGTTCTTATTTTGTTAAAGTTAAGAATAATATTAAAATGGACTATAAGAAGAAAAAAATAGCTTTACTCTACATTTTGCAAATAATTTCCTGCAATAATTTTATTAAAATGATTCAGTAACATGCCTTCGCCTTTTAAATTTAACAATACCAATTAATTGATTATATCTTAAGTTATCTGCTATGCAAATTTGAAAGATGTCGAAAAAGAGAAGAAATAAATATATAAATCAAGTCTGCTACTATTACCACTTATACGAGCCTGGTCTCGGATAAGTGAGTTTATTTCAGTAACCCTAGTAATATTTATCTATTCCGGATAAGTTACGTGCATTCGGATATATTTTTCACCCCTAGTCACAAGCTATCATTCCGGATAATTTAGGTCCATTTGTATATAGTCTAACAATAAGTTCTTTTCTACCTTCTTTCACGAAGAATCGATTAAACGGTAAGGTCATGGAAAAGTTTTTGGAGTTAAATTGTGGCAATGTTTTAAAATTTACCCACCCACCCTCCTCCTGTTTTTAGAACAAATACTGCTGTTTTTTGTTATGTCATTGTAGCTGAGGACTGCCTGCTTGGTCCAGCTTCCACAACAGCCTATGTCGCGGTGGTGAATTACGGGTGTTCGCATATCCGGTGAAGACAACTAGCTTGGTCCAGCACCTACATCAGCCTATGTTGCAATGGTGAATTGTGTGTGTTTGCATATTCCGTAAATACAGCTTGATTGGTCCAGCGTCCACATCAGTCTATGTCAAGGTGGTGAATTCTGTGTGTTTACGTATTCCGTGATGACTGCCTTCTGGGTACAGCGTCCACTTCAGCCGATGTCGCGGTGGTAATTCTGTGTGTTTGCGTATTCGGTCGCACCTCAACGCAACTGGAGGAGTGCAACACATATTCTTACGCTCATTCCATTGTTTGTACTATTGCACATGTAAATTGAAATTCAGGATTTGAATTTGTGCATTGGCTTGTAATTGACAAGCAGTTGACTTGATTGATATTGAATTGATTGATTGATTGATTGATTGAACTTGATTGATTGACGATTGATTGATTGAACTTGATTAATAATTGAATTGGCGACGTTCATGCACTTGTGACCTACCCAGTGCATGATCCGCCCGATTTCTGTCGTCACATTTGTTGTATTGATTGTTGATTGTGGGGCAGCCCTGTGGTAGCCCCAGCAAATTGATCACCGCGGCCAGAAGCGCCAAATTAAACAAGCGAAATAATATCTCTTTTGTTTGTTTGATTAATAGGGAATCTGCAATAAATAAAGTTTGCAGTTTTTTTGCCTAATCAGTACTCATTTTAAACTCAATGAAACATCGTACAAAAACTGTAATCCAAATGCTTAATACATTTTCTCCATGCAGTATGAAACCATTCTTTTGGAAGTCATGAACTAAAAAATAATGGTTCAGTAGAATTCGTAGGAATTTACTCACAGTACAATAAAAATAAATCGCACGCAAAACGCGAAGTAAATATACTTTTGCACTCTGTAGCAAATTTGCGCATGAGTAAATATGCACGAGTACATTTCTCAACATGTAAACAAGGTATGAGTTATAAATTTGATAATAAATTATAACTTTCAGTTCTTGTTGGCGTATCTTTTTGCAAGATTATGAAAAAAACCACTGGAATTAATCTTCCATTTTACCAAGGTACGTCATGTAAAAGCTTGACGCTTTGAGTCTTTTGACCAAGGCCTTATTTAGAATTACCCTAAGGTTAATCCGTAAGGTTTCATCAACGTCTTTTACTGCATAAACAGAGCATCTCTTTTATTCAGTAATGGTTTAATAGTAATTTCTCTATATAGTGCTTACCAGGTTTCTGAAATGTCAATTAAGTGTTCAATTTCACATGGTGTTTATATACATTCTTATGATAGTTTTTCATTGAAAATATCTATGCAGTCTTTGAAGGGGGGTGTCTTCCAATAGTCATGTGAAATATTTTTATAGGCAATAATTGTGTTCCCTTATCAATTAACCTGTTCTTATATTCTTGCGAATCAGAATTGAGTCAAAACCTTTTACATGAGATGAAGGGGAAAAGTCTTACTGTGGCTTTCAATTCATCATGTCACTATGCGGACGACGTTTTATCAATTAATGATAGATATTTTCAATATGTCAACTCGATATAGTCCGATTAACACGGTAGTGGAAGATGTACGTCTATACTCGTCAGACCTCTACAGCGAAATACCTTGAACTGTTTAGAGGCCTGCGGCTTATATAGGGGTTTTAGGGGATAGCGGTGATGAACGAGAGATATGGCGGACATTGCCTTTTACGAGTAGTGTTCAGCTTTTAATGGCCAACTTACATCCAAGCTATACAACAAGTAGGATGACTTCAGCTTTTCTAACATCATCTTTTCCAATAGATGTAGTAATATATCATTTTCACCTGTATATGGGATTCAAGTCTTCCATTGGATTAGGTGCGCAAAAGCATGTTTCGAGAACAACATTTTTTTACAGGAGAGAGAGAGAGAGCTAGAGAGAGAATCTATGTATTAAAAAAAAATTCAATAGTAAGATATTACAATATAACCTGCAGTGAACCAGCGTATATTTTCCAGTTTTCGATGACGTTTTCATCACGTGACGATGGAACACAACCAGACTGAGTGGATCAGGAACTCCATGGTCAGGCCACCTTGTGTAATGAAACATCATCACCTCACGGTCTTTTCTTTCCTATAAATTAGAAATTTTGTTATGCTCCTTACCGTGCCTCATTATTGATTTCTATTGATCTGACTTACATTTTTATCCATTTTTTCATTGCATACAAATGTTACCTTTGTAGAAATCCAGATCGATAGATGTGCATACACTGTAATATACTGGACAATTTCAAAAACATGCTATACTTTTTATTGCATGCATTATTAAAAACAATAAATGCCAGTATTAAAGAACAAGCCTCTGCAAGCCGTCTAAGTATATATATATTTATATTTTCTCTGTGTGAGATCCAATTTTTAATGTGCTTTAAAAAAATGAAAACAAAATCCTTCATGGGATGTCCTAGAAATCCTCTCATTTCCTTCCTAATTCCACTGGCATTTGTTCATTTCATTTTTCTTTTTGAAAATATTCAAAACTCCACATTCCAGCTCAACTAATACTAATTCTTCCCTCTTGTGAACAGACAGGTAGACAGCAAAACGGACAAACAAATACGAGGGTAAAAGCATAACCGTTTTCCAACTTAGTTGGCAAAGACAACTGGGGGTTGGTGTGTAAGAAAACATCATGCATATACACACGAGTCCAATAATATAAACAGAAAGGCAAGTGTCATATATCACAAATATCCTAATTATACCCACACTTTCTAAAGAAAGTTCGGGTATATTGTTGTTACTCATGTCTGTCCGTCCGTCCGTCCGTCCGTCTGTCACACTCTTATTTCTCAAACACCTCTTACATTTTACACAGTAGCCTAATCATCTTTTGGGAGATGTTTGCTGGTGTCATGTAGATGTGCAGTAAAGTTTCGGTATTTTCATTTTCACCCTGGGGGTCAAATGGGGGTCGAAAAATGACGTTTTTAATGCAAAAAGCCCCTGGTTCCCAGAACTCCTCTTACATTTTACACAGTAGTCTAATCGTCTTTTGGGAGATGGTTGGTGGTGTCCTGCAGATGTGCAGTAAGGTTTCTGAATTTTCATTTTCACCCTGGGGGTCAAAAGAGGGTCGAAAAATGACGTTTTTTTTGCAAAAAGCCCCTGATTCCCTGAACTCCTCTTACATTTTACACAGTAGCCTAATCATCTTTTGGGAGATGGTTGGTGGTGTCATGTAGATGTGCAGTAAAGTTTCAGAATTTTCATTTTCACCCTGGGGGTCAAATGGGGGTCGAAAAATGACGTTTTTTATGCAAAAAGCCCCTGGTTCCCTGAACTCCTCTTACATCCCTAACAAAAAAATACTATAGTAAACTATAGTTAACTATAGTTTACTATAGTTAACTATAGTACCAAAGTAAAAACTTTGGAACTTTGATTTACTATAGTTAAAACTTTGGAACTTTGATTTACTATAGTGAAAACTTTGGAACTTTGATTTACTATAGTGAAAACTTTGGAACTTTGATTTACTATAGTGAAAACTTTGGAACTTTGATTTACTATAGTGAAAACTTTGGAACTTTGATCTACTGTAGTTAAAACTTTGGAAATTTGATTTACTTCAGTGAAAACTTTGGAACTTTGATTTACTATAGTAAAAACTTTGGAACTTTGATTTACTATAGTAAAAACTTTGAAACTTTGATTAAGTACGATAAATCCTGTGGAATTATGTTTTTGATTCCCATTCTTTACATTTTATGATATTTCAAGTTTAAGATTCATAAAAGCTTTAGAGAACATTTTTAAAACCCGACCCCTCCCCTAAAAGAATAATGTACAAGATATGCATTTTAATGTAAAGGTTGTCGCTTGCGCCGATAAATAAGCAATATTTATTTCAATGCATTTAATTTTGATGTTATGCAGATGTAACGTAAGTCTTATTTATGGAGAAAAAATAATATATTATTGTGTCATTTAGAATCAAAATATCTGCTTCATCAACTTCAGTCAACATGTATTTTTTTAAATTTATAAATGTAAATATTGCATTTGAATTAACTACTTTGTATATTTAAATAAAGATGTACAACAAAAACCAGCCCCAACCAACCCCATATCCACCCCTCCCCTAAAACGGCTAAATAATAAAAAAAAATAATAAAAATACATAAGTTGTTAAACTAATGAAAAAACTTTGAAACTTTGATTAAGTATACGGAAAACTTTGAAACTTTAATTAACTATAGTAAAAACTTTGGAACTTTGATTTACTATAGTGAAAACTTTGGAACTTTGATTTACTATAGAAAAACTTTGGAACTTTGATTTACTATAGTGAAAACTTTGGAACTTTGATTTACTATAGTGAAAACTTTGGAACTTTGATTTACTATAGTAAAAACTTTGGAACTTTGATTTACTATAGTAAAAACTTTGGAACTTTGATTTACTATGGTAAAAACTTTGGAACTTTGATTTACTATAGTAAAAACTTTGGAACTTTGATTTACTATAGTATTTTTTTGTTAGGGATTTTACACAGTGGCCTAATCATCTTTTGGGAGATGTTTGCTGGTGTCATGTAGATGTGCAGTAAAGTTTCGGTATTTTCATTTTCACCTGGGTGTCAAATGGGGGCTGAAAAATGACGTTTTTTTATGCAAAAAGCCCCTGGTTCCCAGAACTCCTCTTACATTTTACACAGTAGCCTAATCGTCTTTTGGGAGATGGTTGGTGGTGTCCTGCAGATGTGCAGTAAGGTTTCGGAATTTTCATTTTCACCCTGGGGGTCAAAAGAGGGTCGAAAAATGACGTTTTTTATGCAAAAAGCCCCTGGTTCCCTGAACTCCTCTTACATTTTACACAGTAGCCTAATCATCTTTTGGGAGATGGTTGGTGGTGTCATGTAGATGTGCAGTAAGGTTTCGGAATTTTCATTTTCACCCTGGGGGTCAAATGGGGGTCGAAAAATGACGTTTTTTATGCAAAAAGCCCCTGGTTCCCTGAACTCCTCTTACATTTTACACAGTAGCCTAATCATCTTTTAGGGGATGGTTAGTGGTGTCCTGCAGATGTGCAGTAACGTTTTGGAATTTTCATTTTCACCCTGGGGGTCAAATGGGGGTCGAAAAATGATGTTTTTTATGCAAAAAGCCCCTGGTTCCCAGAACTCCTCTTACATTTTACACAGTAGCCTAATCGTCTTTTGGGAGATGGTTGGTGGTGTCATGTTGATGTGCAGTTAGGTTTCGGGATTTTCATTTTCACGATGGGTTCAAATAGGGGTCGAAAAATAGCGTTTTTTATGCAAAAAGCCCCTGGTTCCCAGAACTCCTCTTACATTTTACACAGTAGCCTAATCATCTTTTGGGAGATGGTTGGTGGTGTCCTATAGATGTGCAGTAAGGTTTCAGAATTCTTATTTCCCCCTGGGGGTCAAATGGGGATCAATTTTTTTTTTTTAAAAATATTTAACATGTTTAGACATCCTGGTTCCCAGAACTTCCCTTATATTTTATGCACTAGCCTTAAATCATGATCTTTTGGAAGATGATTGATTTTGTCCTGTGGATGTGTAAAATGGTTTTAAAATTTGCATTTCCATGTGGATAGCAAATAGGGGCAGGAAAAAAATGGCCCCTCCCTAACCCATGGGGTCATGATTTGTACAAACTTGAATCTACACTTCTTGGGAATGTTTCCATATTAATCATACTTTTTGTTGTTCTTAAAAAGAAGAATTTTGAAGATTTTTTTTCCTTTTAAATCTCTATAAAACTTTGATCCCTTATTGTGGCCTGACCCTATCCTCGGAGGTCATGATTTGAAAACGAGAAATATGTCCATAGGACATAAATGCCCAGCCGAATGTATATTACTAATGCAACATGAAAATTTGTATGAGTGTATGAAGTTTGATGAGAATATCTTTAACAGTTTCTTTAAAATTGAAACTAAAATCTAAAAAAAATGGATATAGATGATAAATTCTCACAAAATTATGTATAAGTGCATGGTTACATAAAAAAATATCTAAGATTGTTTCTTTAAAAATAAGCAAAATACAAATTAAAGAGAAGGGAGGTCAAGGTCACAGGAAAGTGCAAGGTGAAAAGTTTTCTATGCAGTTGAATAGCTCTCACTAATACATATCAGCATATGAAGTTTGATAAAAATATCTTAAATGATTTATTTAAAACTGAGCTTAACACTTATTTGAGAAAACAGAGGTCAAGGTCAAAGGAAAGGTTGAGGTCAAAATGTTGATGCAGTTGAAAAGCTTATATCAGTATGTCTTTACTATTAGCATAGAAGTTCAATAAAAATATCAGAAATGGTTTATTTAAAACGTAGATAAACATTTAAAAAAGTGAGGTCAAGGTCAAAGGAAAAATCAAGGTCAAAAAAGTTGATGCAATTGATATCTCTCAGCAGTATATATCAGCATATGAAGTTTGATAAATATATCTTGAATTGTTTATTCAAAACTGATCTAGACACTAATTTAAGAAAAGTAAGGTCAAGGTCATATGAAAAGTCAAGGTCAAAAATTTCGATGCAGTTGAAAAGCTTACATCAGTATGTATCAGCATATGACGTTTTATTGAAGTCGGACATGACAAACACTATATGCCTCAGCCATATTCATGGCAGGGCATAAAAAACTTGAATCTACACTATATGAGGATGTTTCCATATCAAAATGACTAACAAGCAAATTCAAAGAATTATAGTCCCCTGCTTTCCATGTCCTAGTGGATGGGATGCCATTATTTATGACATATTGTTTCAAATATGCAGGCCTTATCATATGTCATTCAAAAGTAATCACCAAAGTTAAAATTTTTTGAAAATTAGGTAAAACATCAAGGTCAAGGGGTAAAAAAATCATAGCATGCTTGGAAACATCTTGTTACAGGTAATGTACATGTCAAATATAAAAGTCCTATCTCTTCTCAATCAAAAGTTATAAGGAAATATAACATTTTTGAAAAGTAGGTTAAACTTCAAGGTCAATGTCACAGAGTCAAAAGTCATGATATATTTAGAAAGGTCTTGCCACAGGTAATATACATGTATAATATGAACGCAATATCTTTTCTCTTTCAAAATGAT